GACACAAATCATATGAAAAACAAAAACTGAAGAGCTGCCGATCCCCCTCCGTGCTCGCTGTACTCATCTGTGCGCAGACTACAGTCTGATTTCTTTCAAGACATTAAAACGATTTATTTCCAGACGTGTCAAAAGCTTTAGTGCGTCTTCAGTTTGTCTGCAAACAGTGTCATGAGAAGTCCGTACAGGAAGCCGCCGGCGAGGAGCAGCACGGTGCTGGAGATAGGGCCGAGCGACAGGAGGGCTCCAAACACGTAGAAGAGAAGCAGCAGCAGGATGGTCCTGTAGCTGGCCAGCGGGCGAAGGCTCAGCTTCGGCCGCTGGCTCCTCCCCAACATGTGCCGCGACATCGGGCTGTGCTTTAGTTTGGTGCTGGACTCGAGATTCGTCAAGTAGTGACGACCCAGACGGCCCAGGAAGTCTGAACGCGAGCACAGTGCATTCATGTGTCGTCCAAACTGTGAGGAGGCAACAACAGACACACACGTGTTTCATTCGTCACAGTCAAATATGAAATTGAGCACAAACAGTGAAGCAGCTGTTTACTGAGCTTCAAATCTGTACTTCGTGTTTTGAAGAACTGAAACTGTTAAAAATATGATTTGGTGAGGGCGGCAACTGCTGTTTGAAGACAGCTGAGAAACTAAGGTTACATTTGTCCTTTGTTACTGTGCTGCTCTCCATCCTCACGTCACCTGACTGTTTCTACTGTGTTCTACTCACAGTTCCTTCTTGAGTCGTGTTTACGACGCCCTTGCAGGCTTGCCTACTGACAGCACTCACCCTCTCATTAATCAGAGAAGAGATCCTGTAGAAGAGCCTGACCAGCAGGGCGTTCTCGTAGCTCCTAATGGGCTGCAGCTCCGGGTCTCCCTGATAGTGAAGGTCAAACCTGCGCAGTCCATTTATGATCTGCAGGAAAACACACACGATTGCTTTAGTCATTTCTCCTCCGTCCATAACCCCAACGCCCGTCTTCCTCTTTTAGGATCAAATACCGACCTGCCTCCGGCCCAGGTCAGTCAGGATCAGCCCGTTCTCACTCTGCACGCAGTCTGGCAGCTGTTTGCTGTTGCCATCATCCTCCGAGGAGCCCAGGTTTGATATGAGCTGATTCAGCTGCCCCTGGTTTAGCTGCAAAACAACAAAAACCCTCCTGTTACAAAGCCCAGCTTCAAACAAAGGACGGGCTTAAATGAACGTGCTGAGTGAATAAAAACATCCAGACTAATCTGACCTTAAATATCTGGCACAGGTTTTCCAAAGCTCTGTCCAGGAACTCGTGGGTCTTTTTCAGATATTCTCCGGTCTCCTCTGGCTCGGCTCCGGGGAAGCCGTTGTTCAGATCAGATGCACCGAGTCCGAACCAGGACAGGAACGATTTATTAGCCGCCACCTCACTCGAATGATCTGATATCCTCTTGGCCGTCTGTCTGGCTTGTGCAATGATCTGGATTAGCTTCATGACCTGCGGGATGGACAGGAGGTGAAAACTCGGAGCAACACAGATGTTTTCTGTACCTCAGGCCGACTTAAAAAGCCACGCAGGTAAACTTACCGCCCCTCTGAGCTCCGTGCCAAACATCTGCTTGTACTGACAGTCCTGTCCTTCCAAACCGTAGACGTGGCTCTTCACCTTGAACACCATGTCCGTCACCACCCGCTGCCGTGACGACAGGTAGCTGC